AGCAGGAGATTTCAGCCTCCGTGTACATGATGCATTCGACAACCTGGCTTTGAGCTTGGCACGGAGTCGAAGTGGGGCGAGTCTCAAGCCAGGAGCCACAGAATGTTGAAGAATGAATTCGTGAATTGGAGCCTGTGGAAAGGCCATCCCTCTGGAAGAAAGGAGCCTATGTGGCAAGAGAAGGCTGGGAGAGGGAAGCCCACAAGGCACTGGAGGCTGGTGACCTAGAAGAATGTATCTGTTTTAAAACAATGCCTACTGCACCCCTGTTTAAACAGATAAAATCAGAAAGGAAGGAGGGAAAGAGGGAGGGAAGAAAGGGAGGGAGGAAGGGAGGGAGGGAGGAAGACTGTGCCAAATTCTCACTCATTGCTGGTAAGGCTGCAAAGGAATGCTGTCGCTTTGGGAGAGAATCTGGCCGTTTCTTGACAAGCCAAACACGATCTTACCTTACAAACTAGCAGTCTCACTCCCTGGTATTCACTCAACTGATTGAAAGTCACTGTCCACACAAAGACTGACCAGGAACGGCTTCCCCTTCCCCTTAAGGGTAAACTTGAACCGTTCTCTCCTTAACCACAGGCCCCAGACTCCTCTCTCAGAGCGCGAGAGCTGACTATGGTAGACTCCTCCTCCCAGTCTTGCCAGGTGTACAACCCAGGAACTTTGTCAAGTCTGTAAGAGCCATCCTTTGCAAATGTGAAAACAGTGTTCCTGTCTTCAGTCTCTAGGGAAGATTCGGAATTCAACTTCAAGAAGCGCCAACTAGCAAACGTAGACAGCTTGATTGTAGATACGTGGATGCCCGGATGCGTGGATACCCGGATGCGTGGATACGTGGATACCCGGATGCGTGGATACGTGGATACCCGGATGCGCCTTCTCCATAACACCCTCCAGCGCTTTTCCTCTCGCTCAACCGTGGGCTTGTAATACTCCCCTGCCTTGTTTCAGCAGAGCTGACTTCAGTATCTTACCCTTGTTGCAATAATCTTGAATAAAGTCATCGGTGCCTGTTTAACTTGCCTGATGCAATTATTCTTTTGCAGAACACACACAAATATTCATAGCAGCTTTATTCATAATCATAAAAAAAA